CTGCTCTTCTGGGAGCTGGAGAAGCATCTGAAGAGGTAACGATGGCTGTAGTGTTGTCAAGTCGTCGGGGGGGCGTCAGGTCCGCCGCAGCAGCAGCCTAAGTGATTAAGCGACGGTGGATGCTAAGGGGCTTTGTGTCAATGTATCTCTCTGATCGCTGTTGTTGTGGTGGCGTTCACTTGCTTGAATGTTGCGTGTCCATTGTTGAGCGCGAACAATACAAGCAGGGCCTGCAGGTATCAAAGCATTTATTCAGGAAACTTGCACTTATCGTCAAGGCACATCCCCTCAGCATGTTCAAATACCTGCTCAGCCGCCCGGAAGGGCTAAAAATGTGTGTGAGGACACAATGTTCTTGCTTCTGCACACACATGTTGTTGCGCTTGACTGTGTGTGAGTATGGAAGCGTGGTTGACTCATGTTCATTCGCTGTAATGTGGTCCTGGCCAGATCCAGGCCAATAGTAGTCATTTTATCTTGCCGGCTTTCAGTTTATTTTTTTCGCTTCAATCTCAACTGCCAGAGATAAGCGTCATGCTCCACTTCCTCAATTGATCCAGTCAGCCCTTTTGCTTCCCTTTGCTAAGTTATCAGGCCCCAAATGGAATAAACCAATGTGTATACAGCAACATGTAAATCTTCTTTCTTTTTTAACTTTAATCTGTATTGCATTTTCAGTTTTGGACATAGCCTCTTGGGCACTCACATCTATCAGCATAACACTGAACCAATACAAACATGAACCGTTGTCAGGGGATCAGTCTTGTAAACAGTCTCATTCTCATTCATGCTATGACTCACATCTTTCATGTGAGTGGTCCATTTTTCCCAGTTCTTGTCCAAGATGTCTCCCTTTAATTATCACTTGGTGCGTCAGATTCTCTGTTGTATAGGAGGTTTGGCCAAACACCACTTTCTTGTTGTAGCTTTTTTTTTTATTGGCTATTAATAGATTTTTTACCAGATATTTGCTTCTTCTTTGGATGGCCTCCTCAATGTCCCCCAGGTACATCACAGCACAGTTGTTAGGAACAGCATACCCTATAATATTAATAGTTGAATTCACATTATTCAGCATAGTGCTGGGCAATACAACAATGAAGATAAATATCACAATATAATTTTCCTTAATTTTTCAAAAAAATGTTTGATTTAATTCATTTGAATCACAGATAAATTAACACTTAATTTTCTAGATATTTCCTCAACAAAGATATTTTGTTAAGGAAAAGTGACTGAAAAAAGATTTTGATGCATTTTACTAATGCATATTTGTTGAACAAGATTTTATCATAATAGTTTTAAATGTTCTACTTCAGATTTGTTAGGTTATCCACTGTTTGTCACGTTCTGACCATAAAGAATAGTTTAAACCACTTTTTATTCATCTGGTTTCTTCAACTTTCACTCGGAAACAAAAACCTTTAAACTTGACAGAAATAATGGTTTGACTTTTATCATGATACTTATTGATATTGAATGATGAAATTTTTTATTGTGAGAACATTTTTGGCCAAGCCCTAATTCAGAAACATGAAATTTAAAAACATATGTTTTTCTGCAGCTGACATTCTGTGCTGTTGTTTTGCACCCAACACCCATTTTTTTTATTTATTGTTTTGGGTTTGTTTTTTTTATAAGTATATATGAATTAGGGTCTGTGCAACAGTGGACATGTGTACACATGTGACGCTGCTCCTTTGGAAGAAAAGGAGAAGTCACTACAAACGTTCTGTAAAGTCACTCAATCCCATCAGAGTTTGCGTGACCGTATAGCTAAAGCTGATAACAGAGCTGGAGGAAGTAAAATACAAAAAATGAGCAGGTTGAGGATCTTCTCCTCAGATAGATTTCTTTTGCGCAGACTCCCATGTTGACACACAGCCCACTTCCTTAACTCGGTACCACTCGGAAAATGTTCCAGCCACAGACAGATTTAACACAGCTTAGGTGCTTAATGCAGCACAGGCGTCTGAAAGGAGCTCAAGGCGTGCAGTCAAAGGTCATCCCACTGCTGCTTGAAGCTTTTCATTCTTGTTGGAGCTCTCACATGTGTCACCTTGTCCAGTCAAAGTCAACGAAAGATGTGAACAAGCGGCAGTTAGAGGTCAGTTGGTGACGTAATTAAAATGTGTGTGCGCGGTCATCAGCCATGAAAAGAAACCCCCATGTCCTGATCGTAGGCGATGCCGATTTAGTTTCACTCTTTATCTAAATGCCCTTTCTTCTTTGCGTGCTGTTTTATCTAAACTGTGTGTTTCCATGGCAATGACAGCAGTCCACACCTACACACCACTGAATCACAGCACTGTACCTTAGCTCATAAGTGATTTAAGTGACATATTGATCAGCTGCTCAAGTACTTTACAACCCGTGATTATATTAGAAAGATAATCTGCCTTTGTGTAGTTTAGGTGTCCTTGATGTGTTACTTACATGTGCTTCATTGATCTATAACATAACGACTGATATGACTACTCAAAGCAAGACAATTCTTTAAGTTATGGTTAGGTAACTGCAACTAACAAATTTTTCTATAATTGATTAATCTGCCATTTATATTGTGTTATATTGAGTCTTCAGGTCATTTGTTTTTTGTCTGATCAACAGTCCTAAACTCGAAGATGTTTAGTTTATTATCACAGAAGAGTAAGAAATCCACCACATTGTCTCATGAGACACTGGAATCAGTACATGTTTGCTTAAATAAATCGAGTAATCAATTTTTCAATTGTTTCAGCTCTGTTGAAAATATTTACACTTTTTGGACATTTTTTCCACTATTGGTTATGTTCCTTCTAGTGCTGAAAAGATTAGACGATGGACAGAAAAATCTGTTGTCAAGTTTTCATAATCAATCACTTCAGTCATTGAACATTCGCTGGTTCCAGCTTCTCAGTTGTGAGGATTTACCTTTTTTTATTCATACAGTCTATGGCTTTGTCATTATAAACTTGAAATATTATCTGCTGGTCAGATATAACAAGAAATTTGTGATGAGCATTTTTAATTAGTCTGACATTTGACAGACTAAACCCTTTGTAGTGTAAATAAACAAAACATTAATCAACAAGGTAAATAGTAGTAGTTGCTGCACTAGTTCCCCTTTTCACTTTGCTGTTTTCCAACATCCCATCAAATTTTATTTCTCAATAATGCTGTAACAAACTTACAGATTTAACATCTTTGTTTCAAGCTGTATTAGTTGTTTATGAACGCTGAAATGACACAATTACAGTTTTTGTTTTCTGAGGATGTGTGGATAGAAAATGATTTTAGCAGGTGCAACTAAAAAATTTTCATTATCAATTCATCGTTCATACATTTTAGTAATTAATAAGTTGATCGTTGAGGTTATTAACGGTCAGAAATTAGTGAAAATGCCTTCAAATGTCTTGTTTAGTCTGATCAAAAGTCCCAAAGATACTTCACTTACACTGACAAACATTTTTTGAGACATTTTAGAGGCTGAAAAAAGAAACTGTTCCGCATGTTGGTTTGATAAATAACTTTGACAAGTAATTCATTATCAAAAAAGTGTCGGCTGTTCATTTCCTGTCGATTTGTATCATTGTTCTAGATCTACTGATGATTCGCACATCACAGAAATGTCAGAAACTTGAGACAGTTCCCAAATAATTTCAAGACAGAGCCTCGTCACGAAGTAGAGGACAGAGGGGTGGTCTTGATTTACTGTAAAGAACAGTGTGTTCCCATTTCAGTCAAACTGATGTGAAGACAACAAAGCAGCTCGGCCTCTGCCATCTGACCCTTTTCTTCTCTTTACAACACCCCACAGACCTTCACTGTTAATGTTTATTTACCACAGTGCTGAGGACAGTTCTTAGCACAGGGGTCAGCCTGTGGGCAATTGATATATGTTAATCAAATTACATGGTGTGTGTGTGTGTGTGTGTGTGTGTGTGTCCCTTTTAATACACGAGTTATAACCGATAGGTGGCGACATTGTTCCACACAACAGCACCCACGGTGTTCCCCATCACCTGCGTCTACATTTGAGTGAGAAATCCGACAAGATGGAACATTGTATCACATATTTGGACCGGATGAGCCAAAACAGGAAGTTTAAACAAACAATCCGCTGTTAAATTGCTCTCTTGCTCCTTTCACAGTCGATGCAGTCCCCTCTTTCATCGTGCATTGTGCTGTGTCGGTTGGATGCGGGGTTTTATAGAGGACTGTGCAGCAGGTAGAGTGATGTTGCATAATTTATGCCTCTCCTCCAATCCGGGATGCCGCGGCGCCATTTTCTCGCATGCATTACGCTAATGAGCTCCCTCCTCCGCCAACCAGGCGGCTGCTGGCGCTGTTTTCCTGCATGCATTATGCAGAGGGGGAGCCACGGTTTGCGGAGCCGCAGCCCGCCGCTTCATTCTTTGTGCTTCGTCCAGACTGCGAGCTGTGCTGCGCGGAGAGCAGACCCGACGTCCTGCCCTCAATAATGCGCAGTTTTTCTACTTTTATACCACTGGATGTCCACTTTGTACAGCCGCAGAACTGCCTTTAGAGGTTTTAATGGACGGGATAGCATGAATTCCCAGTGCTATACAGTGGCGATGGATCTTGGCGTTTGTCAACTGAGGAATTTTTCGATCTCGTTTCTGTCCTCTGTGCTCGGGAAGGAGAGTGCATCAGTCAGGGTTGACAATAGGTAATGTCAGGCATTCTGCGGCGGAGTAAAGAGGGGCTATATGGCCGAAATGTTGCCTCATTGATTCTCCGCCATCAAAGGCAAACGACCTCCATTTGCTTTGTTGCAGACACTCGTTACTGGGAATTTAGCTTGTTTTTTCTCTCTCTCATGATAGCTCAGGCTTTGTTTTCTTTATTTTTAATTTGGCAGCACAAAATCCTAAAATGCCACTCACGTCTCTGCCATAAAAAACACCCTTATTGCAGCATGTTTTTCCTCAAATACACCCCTGCAGTATTGGCTAATACATACAGGCTTTATAATGCTTTTTCTTTCTGTCTTTCAGCTCTTCCGGTGCAAGTGTGGTGGCCATTGACAACAAGATTGAACAAGCAATGGTAAGCGTGTGTTTTTAATCCTGTAAAACGCAGCCAGTGTTTGTAAATAGGCCTCCTGCTTTACATGTACGTGATGCCTCCAGTGTTATGTAACCGAAGCAGCGGCGTGGACTCCTGCAGCTGTGTCATCTGCTTTCTTTTCATCACGCCTGTTAAAGTCTAAATGTATGGAGAGGAAAGCCAAAGCTGTTCCTGTGTAGAGAATGAATTAATGAAGCATGATAGCACTTTTCTGTATTGTAGATGACAGTTTTAGTAGAAATGAAGCTGCACGTGTAGAAAACAAAATTTCCCGCATATATGCACCTGCTGCTGGATGGATTGGAGGCGAGGGGAGTTTCCTGCTCTGTCACGATTTGGACAGATGACCTCCGGTATGTTGGCAACTTGATATGGGCCAGGCTAAGGTTCACACGCTACCCCCCTCCCATCCCTCTCTCTCTCTTTCTCATGCATATACATAGTACCTCACTCTATACTCCCCCACCCTCCCCGTCTGGTGTTGCTAGGCAAGTAGCAGCCTCCCCGAGGCTCAGTATAAATAACTGGGTCGGTTATTGGCTCCTCCCACCCCGGTGCAGGAACATTTTGTTCCCTCTGTGTGTACCAGGGCAGGGAGTAGGAGGAGGAGGAGGAGGTCCAGAGAGGAGGGGATGCTCAGATTATTAAAGCAAGTCCCCCTTCAGCAGCCTGGTACAGCACACTGTTCACGCATTCTAAGTGTTGTGCATCCCTCGTTTCCCTCCTGTCATTCCTGTGCTGTGCAAGACCGATTTCACGATGCAAATTTAGCCTTCACACGCCGCATGACACGCCATGTCGTACATTATTTCCCCTAACAGCATGTTTGTGAGTGGTTCATATGTCTGAGTCAGTTCACTCTGCGGTAAGAGCAGGGGGAAGTCTGTTGTGGTACTAGGTTAATCTATAGAGCAATTAAAAATATGAATGAGCCAAACTACATTTTATAGATCTAGAAGTACTTATAGAATGGTCTAGAAGTACGTGTGAACAACGTGTGCGATTAGGGCTGCAAACAATATCAAATTAATCTGGTGATTATTTCTCTTTTTTATAACATGTCAGGGAAAAAAAATCTGATGTTTTCTCTGAGCATCAGTCCGAAACCCTGGGATTTAAAAATTGGAAACACAGTGTTGAAAAATGATTATCAAAATAGTTTCCATTCATTTTTATGATGGTTGTTTAATTGACTTATGTAGCTCTAGCTGCATACCAGTGATTGATTTCTTGATATATTTATAAGAATTTCATTCAAAATGTCAAAAAAGGAAATTCCTCAGAGCCCAAGGTGACACCCCTCATATTGCATGTGAGAAGCTGGGACCAGCAAACGTTTGGCTTTTTTACCAGTTAGCAAAATAGTTGCAGTTCTAGCAATAGTATCAGTTCTTGTGAGATTTACCTTAAATAAAAAGAAGCATATGGAAGGAAATAGCACTATTGGATGTGTCGTTGTGCAATACGGAGTCTGATTCAGCGTGAAACCGACTTGTGGTTTGAACAAGATGTCTGCCTCACAGAGGAAACACGGAAGAAGGCATCTGATGAATTGTATCTAACCATCTCTCGCTCTTTCTCGTCTCTCTCTTCCATTCTAAGGACCTGGTGAAGAGCCACCTGATGTACGCCGTGCGGGAGGAGGTGGAGGTGCTGAAGGAGCAGATCAAAGAGCTGATCGAGCGCAACACTCAGCTGGAGCAGGAGAACAACCTGCTCAAGAACCTGGCCAGCCCCGAACAGATGGCTCAGTTCCAGGCGCAGGTCCAGACCGGCGGCTCCCCGACCGGCACCAGTCAGCCTCCGGCCCCGACCCCAGCCGGGACCACACAAGTCCTCCCATCCACACAGAGCTCCGGTACGTCTGCATAACACAGAAGCTGCACACGGAAGACCCCCCTGAGGATGTGAGGATGGGGGGGGGGTAGGTGGGAGGAAGAGGAGGAGTTGTCGTCTTGCCATACTGTGAACTGACTCTATGCCACTGACCGTCTTGAGGAGCGCTCACCTCACCTTAACCGGAGGACAAAAACCCAACTTTCTTTTGTTGCACATTTAATTTAAGTGAAAGACTTTGGAGTTGCACCGGTGTGTGTGGTGTCCCCATTTTGTCTCCGACTTCCATTACCTGCTTCGGACAATCGTTGTCGTGGTGGTCGTGATCATTGTCCTCATGGTGATTAAGGGGGGGGGGGGCAGAGCTGACAGGAACTGACAGTCGACCCTTACAGCTGCCGCCATTGTTCAGGGCCACCGTGAAGGGAAGAGCTAACGTAGGGCTCTGCCATTTAGGAGCGCACGCTTTTGTCAGCGTGACCTGTGGAAAGGGTGCCATCGTTTTTGCCCAACCCCCACCTCAACCCAGCACTGTCCATCTGCACACGCTTTGAACGTTTCACTTGGCATCATCTTGTTTTATGTTTTTTAATTTCCAGTCTTTCTGTGCTGCGCTCGATGCACTTTTTTTTTTCAGATGATACTGACAATGGAAGATTCGTACGACCCATCTGGAATGGGAGTCAAATAGTCCAGCTGACTCTTTTCTTTCTCGCAGCATCTGAAGATGACGAGAGTCTTGATACTCTGGTGGGTGGGTGGGGGGGGTTGGGGGGTAAAGAATAATGAAATATATATTAGCTGTGCCTATTTGTTGACTTTAAGAACTGAGTTCTTTTCAAGGTTCATGCCGCCGTCCCCACCCTGAACATGCTCTCCCTTTTCTTGGATGGAGCATTTAACATTTATGCAGGGAATCAACAAATTATTTTCTTTTTTTTTTTTTTTTTTTTAGGCTTGGAAACATTTGGGATTTATTTTTGTCTGTTTTGCTCTTGTTGATGTAATTGATGTCCTAGTGATCTGTAAAAAATAATTAACAGAGAGGCTAATAAGTAGGACATGACTGTTTCTAGGTAGTGAACTTTGTACAGATTAAAAATTTCCAATTAAACTCTGCCAAGTGCCTGGTTTCTAACCATAGATCTATGGTTTTGCCAGGTTTTGATCTACCTGTGATGTGAATACTCAGGGTGGGAACAGAAGAGGATTCTTGACCTTGACACTAAGATATGCTGTCTCTCCTGCAGTGACACACGGCTTCGTACTGTATGCTCTGCCGTCTCTTAAACTCACTCGCTCAAATTATCTGGACTGTTTTACCATTTGGGGACGTGTAGTTGTTTTTTAAGGAATGGCGATGATGATTTTTTTTGTTGTTGTAATTTTTTATTTTTTTGGTCCTTTGTACAGCCAAGTGTTTGAGTTGCTCATAGTGCAACTGGAGCGCTGAACACAAATAATGAGACACTTGGCAGAGAAAAAAATAAATAGGAAAATGCCAAGCACAAGTATGTTGATGTTTTGTGCATGTTCCTCAACCCATCACAAATGTGACGTTACATTTGCACTAGACAGTTGCACCTCAAATAAAAAATGAAAACAAAAAAGCAAACTCTGGACTGTTCGGTTTTCTTTTTCAACCTAGATCTAAAATGTTTAATTTACTTGATTGACTAAAAGACAGTGGGTGCATTCTTAAGAAATGTTCTACACACAATATAAATGTATGCCTTTCCCCCTCTATTTTCAGTTCAAATCCTATTTTATTTATATAGCGCCAAATCATAACAATTATCTCAGAACACGTTTCATAAAAGAGCAGGTCTAGATCATACTCTGTTATTTACAGAAGCCCAACAATTCCCACCAACAGCAAGCACTAGGCAACTAGAAACCCTTAAAACTCTGCATTTAAATCATTAAATAAACATACATATAGCAGGTTTTCTCTCTACTCCACATTTTAATAACCTTCACTGCCTGAGACATCCCAGTTAAAAGCATGAATAGCTGCTCCCTCGCTAGACCTCACTGCACATGCGCAGATGTGGACTGCCATGTAAATATTTATGTATATGTGGTCCCCTGATTGGTTACATACGTCCGAGCCCCCTGAAACCACTCTACGGTTGCCCCACCCACCGCTCACGTGGACCGAGGACGCGCGGGCAGGAGCGCGCCGTAATATAGGGCGACGCCATGTGAGAGCGACTGTAGGCGCTGAAAACGGTGTTTGACAGAAATATGTGACCTCACCTTGTTAAAACGCGTTAGTTACGACGATGTGCTTCGTGTTTGGAGATGTTGTGTGTAAACTGGCTTTAAAACCGTCTTTAAATGTATTTAACTTTGTTTAGACAAATACAATCAGCTACTAGGCTTTGTGTTTTATATTCCAGATGCAGGTGTCTCTTATTAAAAGCTGAATATGAGTTGCCCGTGAAGAAGAGCAAATCCCTATTATACTCCTATGATGATAATAAAATGTTTAAAATAGCACTCAAAACCAGAGGTAATAAATATACACAGTGATATGTGCATGTTCTTCTACACAAACATACATGTTACTATATTACATATCCACTAACCTGTGTACACACAGTGTGTCTGTGTTTTAATCTGGATTTATAGTTCTGATGTGATGTCTATAGTATTAATCTACAATTTCTGACAGGATTACTATAATCTCCTCCCAACATGTACAAATGCTACAGTCATGTTTGCATATGCAAACCCATAGATTTTTATTAATATCAGGAAAGTTAAAACAAAAGGTAAATCTGACTGTGGGATATTTCGCTTTCTTGTATAACTTATGCCACACCGTTATACACTCAGCTGCCAGTTAATTCAGTATATTAAAACCAATATAGTTCAATTCAATAGCCATGCAATAAAACCTACCTTCATTAAGGTTTATATCAATTAGGGGAGACTAAATATTGAACAGCTGAATCAACAGTTGTTTATTTAAACATATTTAAAGTTTTTATTGGTTTTAAAGAAAGGGTTGGTGACAGATCTTTGTATCATTTCGGGGTCACAGTAGATGACATTAAAAATGTAACAAAACATGATGTAGGAAATAAAAAATATAAAAATGTACTAAACATGCACTTTAGTTTTTATATGGTAACAAAAAGGACCCTGAAAGGAAATCTAATACTACAAACTACATTTTTATACCCTAAGGATGCGATCTCTGTCATTTTATTTACCAAATATTTTCCAATGCCTAAAAAATAACATTAACCAGTTTTAAAGTAGATAATCTACGTACAGTATAAAATGGTGGTGTAATGATTTATCCTACAGTCATTTTGACTCATCGAGCAAAGATTCACAAATTAAATCTGTTTTGATTAAAACTTACCTGAAATGTAAAAACTGATTCAGGCAGGTATAATTAACACATGCAAAAAGTCGCAGACTTTATTATCAAGGCCAGACTTTAACCTCAAGGTGCTTTTGTGTTTGTGTTTTAATAAAAATAATCAAATCTTTTCTTTATCTCGGTGCAGCTTCCGGTTTATATCCCGAGTATGAAAAATGTAACCTGAGAAGGATGAGCTTCAGTTTGGGGCATCCTGGGACAAAATCTAACTTATTGTGGTCTTTGATCTAACGTATATCTATTTAGAGATCCTGTCCAGCTCTGTCCGCCTTCCTCCTCTCCCCCACTGACCTCGGAGTGGCTGGCTCAGTGGATCAGACGCGGTGAGGAGACAGAGCCCCCGCTCTCATGTCCAGATGGCACTTTCGCAAATCCTGTTTCATTGACAAAAGGTGTTTTCTTCAAGCACGTCGCCCTGGGTACAGGATGTACTCTGGGGCTGACGGATCACACGCGGATTAACCTTGTCTGTTTGTGCCACTGCTGGTGTCTGGAGGCACAAATATAGAGGGCAGTTATTTACATTAGGTGCTGTGCTGTCCACCACAGATAGTTAGGTTGTTTTTACTGTACCTGCATGTACTGTGTCCAACAAGCAAATACTTTATTATAGTAAACATAGGCATGACCAGTACGCACATAAACTGATGCATAAATCCTCTATGTCTGGCCTACTGTTTCCAGACATACAAAGACCATTCTGCCCCAAAATAAACCACAAAAAAAATCCTCTTTACACCTCCTGAACTGGACCCCCGTCTGTGATGTTGATGTATTCCTTATTGCTGAGAAAGCAGGTGGCCTGCTGTTTAAACCCTGAGCGTCCAGTCTGTCAGGGAGACCCACCCCCACCCCGAGGACACTATATGGGGGATTAGCCTGTCCAGTGTCGGGGCACCAGGGGCACTTCATGTTTGTACACACACACAAAGAAAACCTGTTAACATAATCTCAACGCTGCGAATTCCAAAATGTACGCCTTTCACACTCAGAATTCAGACACTCAAATAAAATAGCATAAAGTAAATTACAGTGCACTACACAGCAAATGCTTTCAGGCACAATAAATTGTGTGTTGTGCACACTTGATACCACTTTTCTGTTGCTATTTTTCATGAATGTAGCTATGTAGCTATCCAGCTTTATCTGAATATGACGCCCCCATTCGTAATTGCGCCAACTGAGCTTTGATTGGTCAATACAGAGCCAAAGTCCCTCCCCTTCCCGTGGACCACCATGGGACCTTATTTGGGGGGAAAAACATGTACGGTATTCAATGGCAAGACATAACCAATTGTTTAATCTGGTTTGAATTGTGCCCTGAATTAAACATATGTTTGTCAATTTAAAATGCAATTTTGCAAGTCAAGAAAGTTGTTGTAAAACTGTGAAAATACATAATAACAAAGACCACAAACCAAAAGTTGCATATGTGATGTCGTAACCTTTTCTCTCAGTGACTGAAGCTAATGTTTCTGAAGCTAAAATCAAAGAACTGACATGTGTAGATGACATTACATTATGTACCAGGAGTCATCGGATTGAACAGGTTAGACATCAGGTGAGACAGATTAGTGCGTGGAACATAGCTAAGTTGACATGAGCTAATATTACAGCGCTAACGTGTTTGTAAGAGATGTAGTTCACTGAGCGGTTTAACACAAAACTAAATGTTACTTTGCTGTTGAACGACAAACTGCACCTTTCTTGACAGACAAAATTATCTTTTAAATCGACTAACATCGTGTGTAAATCAGGGTACAATTCACACAGGATTAAAAAAAAATTGTTGTTTCTTGCCGAGGTCCCATGGTGGTCCACTGGAAGGGAACTAGCTTAGGCTCTCCATAATTTCCTGAGTCATCTATTTTTCTTTTTCCATACCTTTCTTTGACCTCATGTTGTGATGTTTTCCACTAATGAAAGAAAAGTGGGGGAAAAATGGGAAAAATTGCCACTATGATTACAAATATAAATGATTACCGTGAAAAGTCTCTCAAAAGCAAACAGCTATACACGAGGCCGTGCTGAGTGTATTATCCTATCTTCCATTTTAACAGGACCAGGCATCATGGGATCAGACATGGAGTCTAAATTCCACTCCTGACGACCCTTTGATACCACACACACACACGTTTTATTAATCAATTCCACAGTCTGTCCAAGTCATACGCACAAATAGTCTGCCTGTGGAGTCTTGTTTTTTGTACATACACACACCAGCACACATATGCACTCAATCAACTTTCAACTCAAGTCAGCTGCTGCTTGAAGCCTGAGAGGACATCTCACACAAAATACAGACGAAGGGCAAGTCATTTAATGGACCATGTGATGCCAATAAGACAAACCCTCGAAGTGTGTGTCTGTTGACAATTACCAGTTCTACTACGCTGGTCACAGTTAATTGGATGAAGAGGCGACACGTGGGTCATGTATGAGCTTGCCTGCTGTCCTATGTCACAGGTTTATTTGGAAAACAGAAACACTCCCAACATACAAAGTGATGTGAGTTATTATTTGGTATACCCATTTTTCTTCAAGCCACTAGAGATTTCCTACATTTCTTTTTGAAAATACCCAGAAAGTTGACATGAAGTCACTGCGCCGGGAGATTTTATGGGATCAGTACAGTTTTTATACTTAATTTCCATTTTTTTCTCTTAAATCTATGTGCTTGTTTTAGAATATACTAAAACAAGCATGGTTGGCATGTAAAGTCCAGGGGAATATACTAAAACAAGCATGTGTAGGAAAACACTTGGCTCATGTTGACCCTCCTCTCTCTCTGTTTGTGCCTGTAATATGAATCACTGATTAAATCAAAGGAGGAAAATGTCCATAAAAATAGGATTTGAACAAATTTGAAAGTGTTGATATCACTAATGCAGCATGTTGGGAACTCTACCAAACACACACCCACACAGTCAGTGATATTTCAATGTGTCCCTGTCCTCGTTTGTCCTTCATCCAAAATCATATTTCTCTGAGGCACATACTCCCACTGCCGAGCGAGAGCTCTCTGAAATTTCTAAACAAACCACATACAGAAGCACGGACAGAGACAGAGAGAGAGAGAGAGAGAGAGAGAGAGAGACACGTAGCTGGCGCCCTACTGGGGAGTGAAGGAGATTATGGGGAATTAGGGCCCTTGCTCATCCTCCACTTTTCCTCCCCTCAGCACCTTCTCTCGCTCCCTGTAAGTTGTCAAAACGGGA